AACTTCTATAATGTCTTGGTACAACCTGGGGTTGGTACACAGCTTAAAGGCAGAACATACAGTTCCGCTAAAAAGCATAAAAGAGCAGAGAAAGGAATTAAAAGTTCTTAGTTCCTTGCATATGTTCTGCAATGACTGCAGAGTGTCAAGAGCTGCTTGTTCAGTTTTACCTTCTAGACTGACATAAAATGTGAACCCTTTCTGAGTCATGTCACCCCATGAATCACTTAGTAACAGACCATAATGACTTTCTTTTCTCCCCCTCAGAAATGTGTGCCTCTGGGACACTTTGGTTTCATCTGGTAACAGTCTTATACATGGTAAGTACTGCGGTGAAAATTAAACCTCTGCTTCTTACTGACTAAGGAAACACAGCTTGTGAATATATTTGATGCAAAGGAAAAAACCTTTCCTGGGGAACAGGTCTAAGTATGTATTGCATAGGGAATCATGAACCAGAACTGGTACTATGTGTTCTCTAGCATGATGTTAATCTCCTCTATATAGAAAAGTCATAGGTCATAGAACCATGCAAAGGTTTGGCTTGGAAAGGACCTTAAAAATCATCCCTTTCCAACCCCCCTGCCATGAGCAGGGACACTTTCCTCTAGACCAGGTTACTAAGCACCCAATCCATCCTGGCCTTGAACACTTCCAGAGATGGGAGAGGCCATAAGGTCATAAATAAAGCTCCTTTTATGACAGTATTAATAAAGTCTAAAATATCTCAGTACAGTCCTGAAAACAAAACCTGACAGCAGACTAATTAAGGTTGCATTATCAAACTCTTATGCTTTCACTTAAACTGGCACTTAATTAATACATCTCAAATTATAAATTCAGCTATGTATCTGTATTCTAAAATAAATTAAACTGCATATCGTATCTTCTTGTGCATTAGATCTAGATAGCTCTTATGTCAGCTGATAAGGCAGTACCTATATGAAGGAATGTATCTGTAAAAGTAAAAAACATTCAGATAATAATTTATAGAAGAAATACTTCTTAAGTTTGAAAGCTACTTACAGTTTCAAGTCTATTAAATTCTGACATCCTTCTTCTTCAGCCTTCACTTGTCATGACCATGGTGCCACAGTACTTCAGTATGCACCCAAGCATCAACTGCTAATTTCTGGAGGTAGGAAGGGATATATCTGCATCTTTGACATCAGGCAGAGGCAAATCCTTTTTACCTTCCAAGCCCACGAGTCAGCTGTTAAGGCCCTTGCCCTGGATCCTTCTGAGGACTATTTTGTCACAGGCTCAGCAGAAGGCAACATGAAGGTAAGGGATTGGAGAAGCTGAGTTCTATAGGAGAGGGTTGAGCTGAAGTAGTGTATTGTCATATGTTGATCAGCATGTTGCAGATAGCTAGATAAATGCAGTAACAAAACAAAAACAAACCCAAAAAACCCCAAACCTACACTTGATATACAAGATGCTTGCTTTACATTTATAATATAAGCTTAAATATACTAGCAGCCTTCTAAAGCAAGTAGGTTTTGTCCTCTTCTAAATATTAGTCTTTTTAAAGTTGTGAGACTGAATTTTAAGTGGATAAAGCAAAGTGCATCGTTCTGAAATCTTAGCTTTGTTTTTCCCTCTCTCTTAAAAATGTTCTGGTTTTGCCTTTGGACAATTCTTTGTAACACAGGGGGCGCTCAGCAGCTTCAACATTGTGTAAAGTTTCTGTAACACCAAGTTGTATTTTTTCTCTTGACGTCCCAGACAGCTACTAAGATGTCAGAGTAGTAAGAAACAAACATCAACATAAAAACAAAAAAAAACCAAACCAGAAACACAGTCTCTGTTTTAAAGGGCTCTTTTCATGAATACTAAAGGAAGGAAATACAAGAACATGATAAAGAGAAGGAGAAAAAGATTTCTTTCCTTTTAGCTGGGCTGCAAAGTGTTTAGTAGGTGCTTTCTGTGCCTCTGCACAGATTGTGGCCTGCCCTTGATGAGGGCTCCTGCTGCTTAGGACACAACACACAGCCGTGCTTCCTATGACTCTGCATGCTTAATAATTGTGAAGCTTACTCCCTGCAGCATTCCTTAGCAGGAAAGCACTTCCAGCAGCTGGAAAGCTGTCCATAGACATCTTGGATGAAAAGGCAACCTTATTTCTGCAGCTTTCATGGGGGGAAGCTGGGAGTAGGACTCTGATCAGGTGCCACAGGGTAGCTTCACCCTGCCCAGTGACCAGCTGGTCACTGCATCAAGAGCCTCCCAAGAGTCTTGGACTTGTTGTAATTGTTGCTACTAGACAACAATAAATATCCTTTATCTTTGCTGAATAGCGTTTAGAACAACCAGGAATCTGAAACATTAGGGGGGAAAAATACATATCCTTGAATTTTCATCTCCTTTTGTCATTCTTTTGATACAGGTGTGGAGACTGACTGGCTACAATTTAATTCACTCATTTAAAAATGAACATGCAAAGCAGTCCCTTTTCAGAAACATTGGTGCTGGTGTCACCCAGATTGAAACTGTGCAAGGCAACCGAATCTTCTCCTGTGGAGCAGATGGCACTCTGAAAATGAGGGTTCTTCCCAATGCTTTCAATGTACCTTCAGGCATTTTTGACATTCTGTAGCGTTATGTGAGCTAATCCTGGTTTTATATAATGTCCCTTTAAGTAGCTAAAAACACAGTGATATGCACTGTGGAAAGAAAACGTGTTTCCTTTCAAAGCAGTTACTACAGCATTAAGTATTGTGGGGGAAAAGATATTTAAAAACAAACAAACAAACAAAAACAAGAAAACCAACGCTTTTACAATGGGTATATTTTGAATATGCCCATAAGGATCCATGGGATGGAAATGCATGTACTATATTGTGAAAGCAAAGAATTCAACTCAGTACAGTTGGACAGAAAGGGGTTATAGTTCAGTAACCCACAAGCTGCATTTAGTAAGTGTCTTGCAAAGATTCTGACAGTTGTCAGTCACTTAACAAGCACTGTGGCTCTACAAGTCAGTGAGCATTTCTGACATGATTCTGATTACTTTTATTCCAGTTTTTCTCACTAATTGAAGCATGTGTACAACTTCTCATTGTAAAATAGTTTAGTTTTAATTAAGGGTACTCAGTGTATTTGATTTTCGCCAGAAAGTGTAATGGATGCAAATGCCGTGGAACATGTGCAATCAAGGACGTACTGTGAGAGATGTATCATTTTATGCTGAGATTTTTTTTTCCAGTTAGTATTATTGCACAGTTGATACTGTAACTTGCACATCAGCATATTTTTAAATGCGATGGTTTTTAATTTTGCACACTATTTTCCTTTCTTTCTGAGAGCTATGTTTTCTATTGGACACCTGCCTTTACTTTAGGAATGTATTGTAAGCACTAAATGTTTGCAGTGAAGACATCCATCATTCTAGTCAGCTTTTAGTTTTTAAAGTCATTTGTCCAGAAAATACTTCGTTAAATGAAGCTGTTAAGAGAATACCAGTGGAACATATAATGCCACATTTCAGATGAATGTCAGGCTTTATGTGGCCAGCTAGTAAATAGTGGATAAAACTGGTAATTAAATTATTACCAGAGTATATTGTATAAACTATGCAGAGTTCAATATTGTTTGCTTGTAATATAACTAGCTACTGTTGTCAGATGTATTTTTCTGTTGTAAACAAAACCCATGTTCTTCAATGACTGGAAAGGATGTCTGCGTATTTAAATGTTAGCAAACTGTCTTATTCCTCCAATGAAAATTTTGATGTCTGTGCTGTATTGTAAGATATTCTAGAATAAAAAGCACCTTTCTCCAAAGGTGATTTTAAATTGCAGCCTATGAAGTATGAGAATTATGAGAAGAAAGAAGAGTAAGTGTCATTGTTTAGTTTTGCCTTTGTAAGTTAAATAAATTACTTTTATTCCATTCCAGAACTCTTGCTTATATTTAAACAGATTTATCTAAATCTCCAGTAGATTGTCTGGATGCTGCCTAAGCTAGCTTTACCTTGACCTCAAACTGTACTGAGCTAAAAAATATTTTATTTTCAGCTGTTCTAGAAAAGCATAAAGTTAACGGGATTTAGTTCCATAGCTGCAAGAAGCACAGGCTAGTCCTGTCACTGAGAAAAGAGGCAGAATTTCCTGGCCTTCCTCCTCCAAGAGGTTGATCCAAGTGCTTCAACAATGTCATGCAGAACTTTACCATGTTTTAAGATAGGCACACTATCTAGAACTGTGTTTGCCCAAGTATATTGCTGACTTTTGGAGGAGGGGTTAGCCAAAAAAGCTTACTTTATTAGTACCACAACTCAGTTTTTAAAACACCACAAAGAAACATAAACATGAAAAAACTACCAAAAAACCCCACACCCACAGAAGTCAAAAGCAACCCATAGAACTGTAGCTCTGGAGTGTGAAGTGTCACATTCTTTATACAGGTATAAATAGAACTGTTAATCTATGAGGTTTTGTGCATATACTAGTTCAAAGTATTAATTATGATTTTTGTTTTGTCTGCATCTCTCTCTTCTTTGTCTGCAAGGCCTTAGTGAAAACAGCAGGTATGCTGAGAAGAGACCCAATCATCACTGTATCACACACTGAAGTTTAGCTGCAGCAGAGGCATTTTTTCAGCTAGACAAGGTTCTGCAGGCACAGGCATTCCCAAATTCATTAATCCCTTTGATGATGCCTGGATGTCACAAAGGTATTAAACACTTCAGTGCAGTTCAGGATTTAAATGACACTTTCCTTCTAAATATTTGGATGAGCCCCATGAACTTTAGCAACATGCACAGACAGCTTAGAAATTCAAGTAGGTGTTTTCCCAAGAGCACAATTTTGAATATAGATACACAAACCAACAGTAGAGATTTATGTCCCAATGTTGAATTTAGAAACCTGAAATAACAGAGCAAAATTAAAAAGTTCCTATTATTTCTCAGCTCTAGCTTTCAAAAATTTGAATGTGAATATGTGTTCTCTGACTTAAGGTTAACAACAAATTAAGCCATTAAGCAGTATGATGAATACATGTATTCCTGCTTAAGCTACTTTATTTTTCTAAGAATAGCAGCAAAAACATATACCCTTCATTTTATGATTTCATTTGTATGGATGAATGTGGGGACATTTTATTTTAGAAATATGCCCTATTAAATACAATTATAAACAAGTTATAATGGTGTAGTTCACATGACAGTGAGGGGCAAGGAAGAGTCTGCAGCAACACTCAAAATGCAAACACTGTTAAAAATGAAATTTTAATCATAAATGTTACATCTTCTCTTCAATTTTAAACCTTGGTACTTTTCTTCCAATTCTTCATTTATGAAACAAAATGTATATTCAGTACTTCATGTCATTATTCCTATTTTCCTTGTACTTTGGCTGGATTTTGCTTTTGATTACTAACAGTTGATTGAGCTCGTCAAAGGGGAAGCTTTCAGCTTTTTTTCTATTTAAATAACTCTTTCCATCCCCCTTATTTGTAACAGCTGTAAACCTCTGTTCAGAAAAAAATCTTTGCTGAGAATCCGTGGAAATTAAATGAAAGTGACAAAGGTATTTGTACACAAAAGTTCATTATTTAGATATTTATACTAGACCATAATCACTGACTAGAAAATGATTGCAGAGAAGATGATCGCAACTGAAAGTTATAAATAGTCTCTGCTGAGCACATGACCGTGGAATAATCGATGAACATTAGATACAATTATCAGCTGAATAACAGGGGAGAAACAAAAGCAAGTCTGTGCTAACTGTTTGCCAGCTGCAATAGTGAACAGCTATTTTTTAAAAAGATGAGGATGGCCTGTGTAACTGAAGTGTGTTTATACAAAGGCACCTGATCTTGCTTTTAGACACACTCACAAACCACCATCAGTAAACAGAAAATGATGCCAAGTGAAGAGACCCATATGTGTATGTCACAGAGCTTTAAATAGATTATTTAGACAAGCATGGCTCCCATACATGGCATGTTAAAATATTTTCATCTACCAAAATGTACAGGGTACACCATTAAGCTCCCGTTCTCCCACGTGTACAAGTTCTTGTCTCGTAGGCTGTACGAAAGCATAGCAAGAACAGACTGTGAAGACCGTAAATCAAACCTTGCATCAACCTGCTTCCCTTTCAGTAAATCAAAAGCAAAACTTACTGTCATGTCCTTAGTGTCAGTAACATAAATAATGCCACATGCTATGAATGCATTACCAGCCTTGGACTTTGGATATGTGGTGTTGATGTGCTGAATGACTGAAAACGTTTCTTCATCAATATGTGCTACCATTATGTTTTCATCAGTGCTCGAGGCATAGATAATCCAGAGCCCCTTCTCATCCACTGCTATGTTGAAATACGTCTTGGAGTTAGAGAAGAGGTAGTTGCGCCCATGGTGTAGGGCATTTTCAATGAGCAGAGTGCCCAGCGATGCTCTGTCGAGCCCAAATCTGCAATGAGATACAGTGAGGACTCAGTGCACTGTGTTAAAGTTCATTTCCATGCACAGGGTTTGGCTGAAGCAATTCCAAGCGCGTTACTACTGATAGAAGTGTTGTTGAAAGCACTTGAGTTCAAGGACCATTCTGATGTCTTTTAAGATTAAGTTCTCAAAGAACCTTCCAAAACACTAGGAGAAAATTCCAAAGTAATAACCAATCTGAGAGGTGCATAAGAGCATGGACTTGCTTTGGTAGGTTTCACTTTATTTAGTCTGTGAGCTGTATTATCACTTGGATGAAAGAAGCAGCTAAAAGGAATGGATATTAAAAAGAATTGGATACCAGGTGAAGGCCCAGACTTGTGAAACGGAATCTGTACATAAGTTTGCTTTTGACTAGAACTAAAGGGAGAAAATGAGAGTGACGAAAGCAGCTTAAATTCTGGGCAGGTTCACCTGGTCTTAGAGTTCCTCTTCTGAAAACAGTTCAGATAACACGGTGATTTGGTCAAATAGACATCAAAGGAATAAAAATTCTATTTTTGTAGAGCCAAAATTCTGACCTCATGCTGGCCTCAACAGGACAGCCTGAATGTTTCATCTCTATAAAACTGTTTTCATTCCTTGAAATTCCTTAGGATGATGATAATCTGAGGGCAGCAGCAGTGAGCAACTAAATTGTGTTCCTCTACTAGAGGCTAATCAGCTTCTATTGAGACACATCTGCAGTTAGCATTTAACCACCAAATAACACCATACTTTAGCAAAGGCAGAGGGAGAACGTTTAATCTTTTTAAATAGTGCCCTCTATAAAGAAGTACATTTCATGTCTGACTTCTATCTAACTGTATAGCTCCATTCTTCCAATAGAGGAAGAAAAAATGTTACTCCATACAGGAATCTGCTACACTTACAAGTTTTCTGAGAAGACAGGCTTAATCACAGGAACATTTCAGATCCAGGAACTTATAATAGAAGGAAGAATACTGGGAGGATAATTTTTCAGTCTAAAGGCCATTGATAGCATATACTGGAAAAATCATCATAAGAAAAATAAAGAATGACCAACTTAGATACTTTCCCTCAGCTTTTGGAAAACTCACATCTGCAGCAACTCCATATTCCAGCAGCATTTATGTGTAATAAAAGAACTCTTCAAGGCTGGAGAAGATTTGAGAAATGTATGTGTCAACCCAGTTAATCTTGTTAGTTGCTTCATGTTAGTAAATAACCTCATGCAAGGACTAGAAGGACAGCCCTTGACAGGAATAGTCACTCAGAAATGCAGTTTTTCTTCAGGATTTTTTTCTATAAAGAGCCAACAAGAAAAAAAACACCTCAAGATTCATTAGAAAAGTGCAAGACCTGCAACACACAACTGTCTTTTCCTGTTATATGTGAAAATCCTGAAAGGAGCAGAAAAGTGAAGTTTCATTCCCGGGTTTCTCTTGGGCTCCCCAGTCAAGGACAGTCTGCAAAATTCTTTAATCATCTGACACCTTGGGGTCAATGACAACATACAGTGTAATACTTTCATCAACTGCAGGGAACTCAAGCTGCAAACACTTTTCTGATCACTAAAAGCAGTGAAGTCAACCAAAAATAACAGAGGTGAGAAAGCATGTTATGAAACAATGTCAGGGATCTGACCATCATGAGAAAACCTGCCAAAGGTCAGACAAACCTAGCTTTGCCAGCTTTTAAATATGACAAGAAACTCCTTTTAAATATTTTTTCAACATTTGCAAGATGAGCCAACCCGATCCTCACCCATTCCTTCCATTAAATCAATAAAAAAGAAGCTTTTATGCAGCCCAAATTCAAGGAGTTCACTGTCATAAAATTCACTGTCATAGAATTCATAGTGCCTCATTCAATCTGTGCTGAAGACAAATAATCTCAGAGTGAATAACTGAACAGAAAGGCCATTTCTCAGCAGTTCCTTAGAGAGGTTTTAAAAATTCCACAAATAGTTTGTGTTCTTCTGTACATGAAAGCATTTCTCAATTAACGGTACCCAAGCAAAGCTGAGGAATCTCTGCCCTATCACTATGTATTGCTTAGACTGTGATGATCTTTTACAGAAAAAAAGCCTAAAGGTATTTGAAGGAGGTTGCCAAAAAGTGAGCTTGTCTTTGCAGAATAAATATTATAAAATCCACACAGCTTGCTCACATTCCTTGGCATCCACATGAATATAGGAAGGCAGCACTCACACCTGCTTGGGAATAGACATCAAAGTATAGTAAATGTTCTTGGCTCAAACATCAGGGTCGTGTAAGAACTTGAAAGCACACGCAATCTTTCATTTGCCCTTGGACTGTCTGTCTTTGGCTCTTCCCACAAGGTGAGATTTTGGGTTTGATTTGTATTGTCTGTCTCTGTCCTCAGGAGAAACCGAAACAGAGACGTAATTCCCAGTTCCAGTTCAGGGACATACATCGGGAGAGTTGTAGGAACTTCTTATTACAAGGAAATCAAACATTGGAGCCACTCCTCCACAGTGGAATGTGCAATTCACCAGGTCACCACGTCCTCAGCTGGTGCCTCAGTGCATTCCTCTGCTCCAGCATCCAGCAGCACGGGACAGCCCGGAGAGCAGCTCTGCAGAGCCACCCCCTGTGCCTCCCAGACTGCAGCTGAACCAGTTCTTACTCAGGTGCAGGTAGATGCACAAGTTATTTTTCTAAATCAAATGCCTTTTTCTGATATCCAAATTCCTTAGTCAGTTCTCATTTCTTTCTTGCAATTATGAACACAGGAAAGAATCCAAGTCGAAGAACACCCACAGCAATGTAATGTATAATAGCAACCTGTTGGACCCCAGGATAGCCAAGAGAAAAATCTGTTGTCATCTCTGCGTGTGGCATCTTGTTCATCTTGAGGCCCAGTTGCCCTACCACATAGTAACTGCAGAGGTGAACCCCTTAGACACAGTTCAGTTCTGATGCCTAAAGAACTGATCACAGCAGAGTAGTGGACCTGGGCTACCCTCCCAATTTCCCTCCTTCTGCGGCATCTGCACACACAGATGGAAGGCTGGTGGCCCACATTGTAGTTACAGATTGTAAAGAATGAGTTTTTCTGTTCTGGAAAGAGTTCTGAACCATTCCACCATTCTTCCTAGTTACGATCAGAAAGAAACACAAAACTGTACCAGGAAAGTTCTCTGCTTTTCTGAGGTTCACCTCTGTCACTTTAGCCCACCGCTCCTCCTTCCACACCATCACTTGCTTTAAGACAACTGTGTTTGACTTACTTCAGAATGACATTAGTTCCTCCCTTCTGATAGTACAGATGATTGTTTTGTACTGCATGACCACATCCATAAAAGAATCCCGTGATGTTAATGATCCTGTAGCTGTCATTCAGCAAGGCATTGGAATTCTCATATTCTTTTATAGAGTTTCCTAAACAAAGGGGAAAACACGAGAAAAAAAAGGGACTACCATCTGGTTCATCTAATTTTGAAATCTCTGTTTTAAAATTCAGTCTTCAGTAAAAGTCAATCTCAATCAACTGTCTGACAGATAACAATTGTATTGTGTGTTTTCAATAATGATTCATCTTGCTGAAATGTGAAGAAGTAATCCAGAGACACACAAAAAAAACTGTATAGGAGATGAGCAAGAGCCTGTTTCCCACAGACTTAATGGGCCCTCATTCTGAACACAGCTGATATATATGCAGAAATATTTCCTTTTTCCACTTAGGTCCTTGGCATTTTCCTGCTCTTAATGTAGAAATCCAATGCAGAAACTGATTCATTTTCATGCCTGGCTAAATGAAAGGGCAAAAATCCTAGCTACAATTTAGAGAAGTAAAGCCATAGAAAAGAGAAACTCTTGAAAGAAAAGAATAAAACACCATGAACAGCAGGCATTTAAATTTGAATTTGTTAAAAAAAAAAAAACTGAAAACTTCAAACTATTTTTAAAATCTGATGTTGCCTCTGAAGATGTCTGACACTACAAATGCCTACAACCATATTTATAGTCAAGTTTTATACAGGTAATATGGAAAATACTCTGAAAAAGATGTTGGTAAAACCCCATTGTACTTATTACTTTAATTTGAAGGGATTAAGGAAGCAGTGTCAGTATAACAATGGATTTTTCATTATGTCTACTACTAAAAATACCTAAGAAATGCATGGTAAGCCAAATCCTTTCATCACTTATATTTGCAGGCTCCCGCATCCAAGTTCCGAATGTTTGCTGAACACTGACAAAGTGAACAGGACTTCCCACAGATGTTATGACGCATTCTAGTAGAAAAAAAAGCACATGTCCATGATCTATGACACTAAAACAGCAAGTATCACTTAGTCATGCTCTGCAGCAGGTTACCAGGTTTTTTTGAAGGACCAGGGGTTCTGTCTTCAGCTTTTCCAGCCAGGGTGTCATCATTTGGTACATCACATGTCTCACCTGGAATTGAGGGAGAAATGGTAAAATATGTCATTTTTCTCTATTTGACATGACAGACAACAGACATTTCTCTGTTTGACATGCACGTGACAGATGTGCACATCAGTGACTCCACTAAAATAAAAGGATGACAACTGGGATTTTGTTTCACCTGAGAAAAAAATCTGCTCAGGTTGGTCTGGTCAAAAAATGAGATTAGGAAAGATTTGCTCTCACTCCTGCCAAGGAAATGAAATGTTTGGGTTGGTTTGTTTCCTTGAGGTTGTCAGGCTGACAGTGAACTTTGAGGAGTAACTAATTAAATCAACAGATTTAATTCCTTAGCTATGAATTCCTGAGTAGCTGCTTAGAAAGACAGTTACCCTTTTTTCCTTAGATAACTTTACACAACTGAGGTAGATTGAAAACGGCTGATTTCACAGTAATACCAAAAACATTTTCTTGGGAATGAGTGGTTGTTAAACTCAAAAGCATCATTCCCAGATCGCCACACTCCAGCCCAAGACAGCAATAAAGCACTAACACATACAGTGAGCACAAAAGATTGCAGCTCAGCCACTCATGCCACAGAAGCAGCAGTGTGAAAGACTGAGGGAAATGATGCATTATGATACTTACAGGCATAGAAATGTTTCACATTAGAAACAAACACCTGGAAACATTTTTGCCCACCCCTCAACAGTATGAGGAGCATTGGTTGGATTTTCCCTTTGAGTTTACCATTAAAACAAGGCCTGAATTAAATTATTTATGCACCTTTTTCTGTAAAACCAAGTACCTCTTCTACCCTTAAAACAACATGACACATTTCAGTTTGCTTAGCAGGAATAACCACAGAGAACAGTTCTCAGCTTTTTGCTGAAGATATCCTTATTTCATTGTAGCCTTGTTTTCTAATTCCATCCTTAATTTTCATCTCCTTACATATTGCACACTGCTTGATATACAGGCTGCAAATTCTTTTAGACACATATTCTTCTTGTTTCTTTGCCACATATTTCTGGGATTTACAGATCTGTGCTGAAATTTAAGTGAGAAAGATAGTAAAAATATGAAATAAAGTAATGCTGAAAGGGCACCATGACATTGAGGAAAGAAAGGACAGATTATACTGAATTGTTGTTTTTTCCTTTAGGTTGTGTCCTCTCTTTGCTCATGCGGAAGAAAACTACTCCAACACGAAGCAAGAACAAGATGTATTTCTCCCATCCTTTTATCTAAGGCATTTGGTGAGATGACATTGAAAGTTTGCAAGCGATCACAGTGTATCTCCAAAAAAGGCCTAAACAGTCAACCCAACCATGATTAGCTCAATGCCCTATAGCTGGAATCTAGCAGTCCCTCTGGATCCCTTTAAAGCTTCTGATCACAAAATATTGTCAGAAAATCTCAAAAAAGGAACCCACTCAGCAGAAATCATAAGTTGCAATGCACAAGTTAATTTTCTTGGGCTGAGTCTGATAGATGCAGTTGACTGGATGAGCGGTTCCCTGTACAGTAGTTTATCTAAGGCTACAGAGCAGTCAGGGAGCAGGTCAGTGCAGCAAAGCTGAGTGTGCTATTTGTGTTTGAGGATAGCTGCAGTACTCTGAGGGCCTTTCAGCTGCATCAATCAGACAGCAACTCAAATTAAAAAGACAGTTTTCAATCAGAGACTCTTATGGGAAATTTTCATTACTTTCTTTCCATCAAAAAACCAAGATAAATATCCTACTGATTCCTATCATAAAATGTTCTGGTTGAGAGTTAGTGGAGTTTACAAGACATTAAAACTATTGATTTGGTCTGTTGGAGGAGGGATGGAGCAAGGCAGTTTGGAGCAGAGATGTTTTGGTTTTTTAGAATTTACTAACAGTACCATTGAGAAAAAATACACCCGAGCTTCCAACTAATTATTCTCTTTTTTGAAGAAAAAAAAGTTTTACCCAATTCAAAATTTAATTTGAAGAAACCAGTCTTGTATTCTTATGTAATAAGTTAATTACAGTTGTAAATCAGTATGTGTATTCTCTTTCCTTAAAAAGGATATGAATATTTAATTATAAAAGCTGGGTTATTCTTTGAATTTTGGTAATAAGATCTCATGGCTTACTAAGTCATAAAACATAAAAGCTCATTGAGGAAGATCTCATCTTTGCAGAGTTATTTGACTGTAACTCCCATTTGCACACTGCGATTTCAAATCCATCAGAAATCCATCAGAAGGCTTATCCTGCAAAGCACTTCAGGCTGCTTCAACACTTGAAAAGAGGCCACATGAGCAAATGGCTCAATTATCTCCTATAGTACTTCATGCATTTCTGAACTTCAAATAGAATGAGATTTCTGCTCCAGCTCTCTACTTTCTGTTTTAGGGAGTCCCTCTGGGCTCTGTTCAGATACTTCAATATTCAGAATCAGGGTGATGTATCTACATGTAAAATTAAAAATTCAGCATTTAAAAGCCAAAAATTTCAACTGCATTTCTCATACTTTCCAAATTTATCCCATCTAACAGAAAACCACCATTTTTTAACACTTTGCCTGACCATTAGCATAGCACAATGAAAAGACTAATATTGTACAGGTGGTAACTTGCTGCCTTATCCAAGCCATATTTCAGTAAAACACCTAAACATATATTCAGCTTTAAGTTTGCAGTTTTACTGATGCCAAGCGAAATTAAACCTGTGCTTACTGTTTTGTGACACTTGAAGCAATATTTTAATCTTGAACTAGTTCATAATACAAAAAAGAACAGTGGGGAGAACTAACCTGTGCATGTGCTGCTGCATGTGTTCTCCTGAAGCTCTGCTTTAGCTTTACCTTTACGTTTACCTGGAGGCCCTGGGGGTCCAGGTGGTCCAGGGGGCCCTGGTGGTCCAGGTTCACCTTTTGCACCTGTGTACAAAACAGAGTCCTGTCACAGGCCTTGCACAGACAACAGGCAACCTGCAGAGAACCATGTGGCAGACTTGGAGACATCTCTAAAACAGCCTCTCTCTTTCTTAAGAGGTTTCTGAGTACAGAAATATGGTGCAATACACACTGGAATGCTGGTCGTTGGAAGCTGAACCATAAAGAATTTCACAAGGTCACCAGTGCATTTTATCTGTCTGGATTACAGGCACATTAGAGAGCTGTATAGCACTGCTACCTTTTTCTCACTGCATTCTAAGACCTCAACTTCAGATGCTACATTGCTATAATTTTACACAGTTTGGCTGCTTCATGTATTCCGGAGTGGATATCTGATCCTCATTTTCTAATAGAGAAATAAAACCACACTGAAAGAAAGAGCAGGAGAAGGTCAGCTGTCTGGAAGTGTATTGGAAAGAGTGGAGTTCACAAACACCTCAACCTAAAGCCCAAGTAGAAAAGTTTTTGTGAAGACTTGCATTACAAAGAGAACAATCTCCTGGGCACAGCAATACTCAAACTTCACTGTGTGTGTATACCATATTTATACTGGCTGGCCCTGCTCTTGCACATCACATTCATGCTTCAGAAGTGGAAGGTATCTTTTCCTGTCAAGCACACTGTTGCAAGAGAACTCCCAAGAGCACTTCTTCATACCTTCTAATATCACATCATTGCTTGCATCCCCCTTTTCTCCCTTGGCTCCTCTTGCACCTTTTACTCCTGGCATACCATCCTTGCCAGGTAAACCCATTTCTCCAGGTTCTCCTTTCTGTCCTTGATCACCTTTTGGTCCTGGCAGACCTAGAAATAAAAAGTATTTCAGTACCAAGAACTCTACTCCAGCATTAAGCACCAATTAATACATATTTTTACTGCAAACCATATTCACTCTAGTTATTTTTTTTCACCTGTATTTAGCTGGGTAGCTGTAATTTGTTTGGATTTCAAAGAAATGTTGTAACCTAATATGAAAGGAAACTGTGTGCAATTTGTCTGGTGCAAATAATATATTCTCTACCTTGTGATCTCTGAGTTTTGAACACGGATCACACAGGCCTGGGCCTCATTAACACTGGCAGGAGAATTTCTGGATAAGTAGAAATACTGTGGAAAGATGTGAGGTCATACCTTTATTTCACATATGTAAGACATTGAAGAAAGGCATTGTCATAGCTCATCTAGGGGTTTTTTTAAAGTAATTAGGCACAAACTTTACAACACACATTGCACTTTTAACTTTTTCCACCGTCCCAATAGAACATAGATACAGCTGCCTAGCAATGCTTTCTGTGGCTGTTGTAACTCTACACTTGCTAGAAGCATGATTAACCCACATACTTTTTGCACTTGGTCATGTAGTAAATTCATATATTTAACAAGATATTCCTTTGTCCTCTGTGATTTAGTTCTGCAATAGGAAAAAACGTGTGTTTGTACAACTGACACATCGAAACTCTCCACCCTCTACTTTTGCGGCACTTTTTTCTCACTTTAGGAGACAGAAAAATATTTACAAATAGAAATTTGTCAGTGTTCTTGTGGGCATAGATTTCAAATAAATTACATTTGTTAATACTGGAAAAGAAACTGCTTGTTTTTCTACTACGGTTTTACTACTTAAATTGATTTTGCGTAATCAGAAGAAGAACTACAGTTTGCGGTTGAAATCCAAAACGTGCCTGGCACAATCGCCACCTGGCTCTCTGAAGACTGGTTCTCACTTTCATTTCCAATTTTAAAAATTCGTTGAGGATACTGAAGAGACAGAACACATGTTGTCTCAAGGTATGGTAGGCAATTGTTCCACTTACACCTGCCAGTGAGTCCACACAGCTCCATGTGAAAAGCCAGAATAACAGATGGGTCACTACAAACACCAGCCTGCACACCAGCCTGCCTGCTCATCAACATACCCTTCCTCTTCTCCATCCTCTCTTAATTCCACCATTCTGATGCTCTTTTGTCCCTTCCCCTCCTCCCATTCACCACCTGCTGCTTTCTCCCTCTGCCTTGGAGGCACCAGTTATCCATCAGCACTTTCACACAGCTCGTCTGCCCCAGGTAAATCAGTGGAGAAATCAAGTACTGCTTTAAGATCTCACAGCATTGAATCTGAAACCAAATCTGTGGTAACATATATAACAACTTTCACCCCCAAACTCTGGCTTTCTTTTTAAAAAGTCTGAAGTCAAGGGCTGTGATGTTGGCAGGTTGAGGGAGTAGAAATATGCTTACAATAATAGCAATTACTAGTGAGTTCAGAATATGGATATTCAATTAAGTGAGTTCAGTAATTTTAGTGTGCAATATTCTATGGTGTATATATACCATCTTCCTCACTGTAGAGTAAGTCTGAATAATCTGCCGAAGCTTAGTATGAGGCTATGAATGGTACAGAATTCTGTAACATGTACCTTCTTTGTAAACTTTGAAACCCTTCTCCCTGTACAAAGGTCTACAAGAAAGAACATCCGAATATAGCAGTAAAAAAAAAAAGTCAGGTTTTTTTTTTAAATAACCATTAAAAAACTACCTATTTTTCCTCTTTTTCCATTTAGTCCTGGTTCTCCCTTTTGTCCTGGTATGCCTGGGACTCCATCTGATCCATTGTAGCCAGGCAGTCCATCAAGTCCAGGAGGCCCTGATGAAACCAAAGAGCACAACTGAACTTTCACTGCTAAATGCAATTTATCCTTAAATCTACTACATTTACATGTAGTATGTTTTTATATATATATTGAACCCTGGAAAAACATAACTCATACTTTTCTGATACAGAGAACTACTCTAAACAGACTCACAGGTAAAGCAGCACACAAAGAAAGCAAGTACACATTCATACAGCAACACTTGAGTGAGAACAGGGGGAGAGAATTAAATAAGAAAGGAGGAAAAGCTATGGGGGAAGTGTGCAGTCAGTAATCAATACTTTTAAAGAGATGTTAAATTACAATATCCGTTTTTTCTGGATTTTTTAGTATATAGACTCCTCTCTTCAGCTAAATGCTACTTAAGCACTCTTAATTCCATTTGGTTTTGATTAAATATTCTACTCCCTTCACTAGAAAATTATAATTTCTAAAACCTCCCCGGCCTCAGAAGGGGCACAAGCTGACCTAAATACAAAAACTAAAGGCAGGCATTCAACCTTCCCTCATGCTAAATAGAAAAGGAAAAGTATTTTGTGAAAGATGCATTTCTACATTTCAACATTTTGTACCAGCAACTGTTTTAATTACCTCAAAATGTTACTGAAATTATCCAAGTGTCTTACCTGGGGGACCTGGAGGGCCTACAGTAAGAAAAAAAAAAAGACAGGAAGAAATGGTGAATTTAACCTACCAAGAAAACAAAGCAATTCCAAATTGAACTGATTACCATTAGATCAGAACAGTAAAAGGGGAGGAAAACCCCTCAAATTTCAAAATTAACAGCTAGCTATTTAACTGCTTTGTATTATAAATAATTATCTGAGCATTAGCAGTAGCTCAGACTTAGTGAGAGAGAATCCTTCAACACAATTACATATACACATTTTGCTTTTTTCAGATTTCAGTTGATAAAGGTTTGACAAAAAACCTCTACAGTGAAATCTCACTGTCAGGGGCTTCAGTGCCTGCAGAAAGCCATGGGTGCAAGGCACTTAACAGCCATTACATTTCCTTCACTTAAGTCTTCTCCAACAACCTGTTATAGCAGAAGATTAGTAGCTTTGCAATACTGCTGAATGGCACAATTAAAAAATCTTGTTAAAAATACACCACATGCCACACTGCTCTGTGTTTTACAGATATTTCATTGCCACTCAGGACTCAGACTATTTAAATTTTAAAAAAAGGCAGGGGGAAGGGAAGGTTTGGGGAGGGGAGGGGAAGGGAGATTGTATCATTCCTATTAACTACATCTAAATCCCACGTGATTGTTCTCCAGCCTCGACTGAGCTTCCCACAGAAACTGCTTGGTGCATCAGAACTTGAACTCACTTCAGGTATTCAGCAACACTGAAACCTTAATGCCTTAATGCCTCTGACAGAGCTCAGATAAAGGGCCCTAATGAGAAGCAAGCATAGCAGGCAAAAGTAAAGCAAGACTAAAAGAGAAAATGTTTCCGATGTTTCTGTAACAAGATTTATCTTCTATGTTACCCAGTACACATTAAAAAAAAAAAAAAAAAAAAAAGCTTTAGGAGAAAAAAAAAAAAGGTGGCAGTTGCAATTAAAAAACCAAATTAGTTTTATGAACAGCCAAAGTACTCTCTTGCTTCAGCAAAACTCTCTACAACAGAAAATAACAGTAATTATTAGATTTCCCTAAGGATGACTATTTTCAGCATTAATTACAAAGTATTATAAGTAAAGTGAAAACCATCTTACAATACCATTATAACAATTATCTCTTTTAATCAGTACAGGTAGTAACATCAGTTAACATCTTTCTACCATTTCTCTGGCAAATGGCCATTTTTTCCACACTACAATGTTACATCCTATTAGTGCATTCACTTACTTCCTCATCCCCAAAACTGAGGCTCTTTGTATAAGTCAAAGATAGATAAGAAAGGTGCTTGAAAGGTAGCAAATGACACTAGGGCCTATAGCAGAGAAAGCCAAGCATTTAATGGTGTTCAGAGAGAAGAAGGTACAGAAGGCACTCAGTAATGTGAATTTACAAGTCCTAAGCCCAAAGAAGAAAACTTTTAGACTGTTTGTGTTTCAGTCTCTTAGGATCAGAACTGACTCACAGCTTCAGAAGCAGTATTTAACATGTGTGTACTATGGTAGTTCTCATTTGTGTTGAATCAGTGGAGTCAAACGGACCTTATAGCCATTTGAAAACTCAAACCAGACAGCAAATGAAGCATTTTCTTTAACTCATAAAAAACTGACTTCTTCCTAATCTTCTACTTTTCAAAAATAACATGACTAATTCTGTGATAGACTTCAAAGCTGGACAGTTGCTCTTAAATTGGCTGCTCCCTGAACTCTTCACCAAATCACATCAAAACTTCTCACACCTTTTCTGGTCCCAACCATGAGTTGCTCCAGCTCCTCCCTGGTAAGATGTGAAACATCCTGTAGCCAATGCAGCTGAGACAAGGTGCTCATCCAAGTCCCACTGCTCCACTGCAGTTGCAACAACAGGAGTGGGTTTCTATACCATCTATGTTCATCCCATGTTAGGTTTCAAGCGTGGCATACACAAAAATACCATGATTAAACCTCAATTAGTATTTTAAACACCCAAGTCTGAGAGATTTGTTTATCAAAATTACATGGAAAAGAAATAGCTCCAAGTAACATCAACTGAGCTCCCTAAATTCCAGCATTTGTATTAAATGGGTACAGTTAAGTCCCAAAGTGGCATCCAGTATCTTTTTTTTTTAAACTGTTCTTTGACACATTTATTGACCTCAGGTTCTTTGAAAACAGTGTATTTCTGTGTTCCTGAAGGTCACAGAGGTTCAATGATTAAGGTAATAAGCATACCTGTTAAGCATATGCCTTTTGTGCTGTTACATAAATCCACCATCACTCGGACCTAATATTGCAAAGAAAGTAAAGTTGAAAACAATGTATTTCATAAAAGTGTCTGGTTCACTTTACCTACAGAAATAATTTCAAAAACGAAGATACAACTGGTCACTTTGCTAATAAGAATAAACTTTTCAGAATTACCTTAACACTGTGACACCATCCACCTCATCAGGCTGTTTCTCTCATAGGCATCTGTTCAATACACCTCATATTAATCCTTACTGAAAATATGAATAAAATATTGCCCAGACAACTCCATACATCATCTAGTCATCAAATTTCACACATTACTGTAAAACATGTATTAAAACATGTATTAAAAGCCAACATCAGCCAATAAAAATTGCATTCAATTTTATTTTATATTTGCATCAAATGATGCAAATTTTTCAACATAGCATATTAAGGTAGAAAGGCTTCCTATGTTCCAAATAAGTGATTTATTATCTTTGAATAACCAAGATCTGCAAATCTGAAATGGACCTTCATCCACTCAAAATAATTCATCACAACCATGACAGATTTTATAAAACCAAGCTAGAAGACACATTCATAAAGATGCTCTTAATCTAGAGTAGAATAAAATGTATCAATTAAAAAGTCATCACTACAAAATACATGACTCTTGGCTGGGCAAATATTCACTTTACATGTCCTGCATACTGAAAGTCAACACTCTAAAATATTTTGCAACTCATCAAAACAACCAGCAGAAATAAGGATATCATGAACACGAGCACTGACAGTGCCTCAGCTCTTTTGTGGGAAAGTCTAATGTTTATAGCCAGGAAATAAAAAGGTCATTACTTCAGGGCTGTGCAATATATGATAATTTATGAACCATTTACCAAGAGTTTCACATTTATTCATCTTTGTACAATTACTCTATTTACAAATAATGGAATGCACTAGTCCCAAAGGACAGAACAAATGAGTGCAAGGCAATCTGAAAGGCAGATTGAAGTTTAAACCTAGAAAGGTTATTTACCACTGTCAATCATAATTTTTAAAATTAATGCATCATTAGTTTCAACTGACAAATCTAACAGACTCAAAGAAAGGACAATTGTTTTGATGGCAAGGATTCTTTTCCTGAAAAACCAAACCATACTTGACAATGGGTTCCTGTTCTGCCTGATACATACTGTGAAGGTACTGGGTTCCAGACCGGACTGGAAAAGCTTTTACATTTAGAAATTTAGACTCAATTTAAATTAGCTGAGAAGTGCTAACTGGTTTTGAATATCAGGCTTGTTCTCTTTCCCCTCACACTCTTCAAAAATACTTATCTCCTACCTTCTAATTTGTAAAATATACATTGTCAATGTGTACTCTAATTCTAACTGCATTTTAATTAAAATAGTTCTATTGAGGTTGAATAAGTGATCATAACTTGCTTTGGGGCCCTCCAATTATCTCAGCAGCACTACTTTTACCATTCAGTGCAACTCAGGTGACAATTAAAAGGACATGGCACTCAGGAAGTGCAAACAGACTATAGCAGAACCTCCAGCTTAGCAATGAGAGATGAGCAGACTGTTCAATCAGCCAGCATCATCACTAAGAAAAGCTACAGCTGAAAGTATCTTATTTAAATGCTAGAAATTAAGTTTTCTCACAAAGAAATGGTGAAAAAAATTAAAAAGAAAAAAGACTAAACTATGAAACAGCTACTCAGATAATTGGTAGTCCCCATAAGCCACCACTTCTTGCACTGTCTTAAATCACACTTTGAAACCTGCTGGACTGTTACTTTTGTGTCAGTCTTTCTGCAGCAACAGATTTGCCAATTTCCTATTTTCTTACAAAATAAGTATATGTAAACACAAACACAGAAATAATAGGCCAGAACCAAAAATATACTAATGTTATCAAAGCTAAAATATGGGGCTTGATGCCTAAGGTTATTTCAAAGATCCTTGAGCAGTGGCCACACCAGATCTCCGTGAGCAGTGGGACACTGACACCTGCAGAAATTGGTGCTTCCACCACAAGAGAGAACCTACTCAGGTAAAACCTCCATTCGGGGCCCACATTCAGCAGAGGCTGGAACGTTGTTCCAAGGCCCACCAGTGTAACAGGGGTCATCTCACCAACTCTAAGGAACTTTGTCTCACAGCACAAAGTAGTCAAGCCTTGAAATTAACTTAGTGGGAGTTATATTCCAAACGCAGAAATGCAGGAGTGGGAGGAGGGGGTGCTTGAAAATTTTTCTAAGGGCACCTTTTTTCCCCTTGAGCAAGTGAGTCTGCACACACACATCCCTCTGAGCAGCAGCCAGAAAAATGTTTGATGGGAGCTTTGTAAGAACAAAAAGCCATGACCACCGCCCCCCCAGTAACTCCCTGTAGGATACATTTAAATGAAGCACATGCACACAGCAGTAGTCACAGTGGACATTTAAAGGCACAAGTGCATATTCTGGCCACATGCTGTTAAAATACACACCATGTGCTTGGTTCTATTTGGAGGGGGTAATAAAATTCACATAATCTGTATGTGGTACCTAATGGCAGTGGAGTAGCACATTTAATGGCCACTGTCAAATTATTCAGGCATCCAAGTGCCACCAAAAATAAAAAAAAGTCACTATCAAAACTCTCTGCTCTACGGTCTCGTTAGCTCTAATATTAAAGGAGTGGTTATCACTGTGAAATGATGATTACAATAATTTATTAACAAAACATGCCAACAGAACACTACCGAAGAGGTATTTTCTGCACATAATTTTTAAAACCAGTAATATTAATGACATGAGTAAGAACCTGAGTTAACCTCTCCTGCTTTTTTTTTTTTTTTTTTGTGGGCCTATGGCTGCAGCCCTTACTGGGACAGAATTTCCATTAAGGTTCTCTCAATAGTAATATTTTTCTTGCATTTCTTCTGACTCATAACGTAAAAGCTTTTCAATCTATTTAAAATTTTTCAGCTATGTGACCTGTTTCCTACTGAGCAAGATAATCTTTTCACCGATGTGCAAAAAACTATGGCAGTTTTGCCAGAGAGAAAGGACATACAGTTCTCCCGACCCGTCAAATACCACCCTAAATTTAACCCTTACTGAAAGAGCACTATCAATTTCAAAGAAATCAAAATCAAACCAAATGAAGTTTCACTGATAAAGTGATGTTCAGTACCTTGCAGTGAGATGCTGAACAGCAGTAAACACAGGGGGGTTCTGCTTGTGGTGTTGGTTTTAAAAACCTGAAACTTTGGAAACTGGTAACTTAGAAACTGACTTATTGCAACTAAATTTTTGAAGTTACACGAAATCCAAAAGTTCCCTCCTTTTGTCTGTGTAACTTCGACTTGTAAAGTTTAACAGCAACCTCAATTCTGTGGCCCATCAGCTCTGTCATCTCAGCATTTACAGACAACAGTAGGAACCACTGCTCCCTAGGCGCGAGATTCCAAGCACCAGGTGGGTGTGTTCGCTCCAGGTAAACCCCGCCGAGGCAGGGGCGGGACGGCACCCCCAGGGCAAACCGCGGGGCTGGCGGGATCCTCGGGCTACAGCTGGGACAAGCGACTGTCCCAAATCCCCCATCCCCCGGCGGCACCCCAATCCCGGCGGGGCCGTACCGGCACCATGGAGTAGGTCAGCATCATCAGCATCTCTTCGCTCTCGGCGCGCACGGTGCCGCGGCCGCGCTCCCCGCGCCGGCTCCGCTTGGTGCGGGCGGAGGGGGGGGGCGGCGGGGCCGGGCTCGCCCGGCAGCCCCCGCACGGAGCCGTTCCCCCGCACCGCCTCCAGCTCCCGCAGCGCCGCGCCGAGCTCCCGCCACTGCGCCAGCAGGAACAGCGTGCCCGCCGCGCTCAGCGCCGACAGAAGCCCCACGGCCGCCAGCAGCGCCCGCCCGCCCGCCGCCTCCATCGCACGGGCACGGGCGGACCGCTGCCGGCGTGAATTTATCCCCAGGGATGCTGCGGGAGGGGGCCCAGGGCAGGGGACGGGGCACCGGGGCCACCGAGCCCTGCCGCCACCGTCCCCTCCCACACCGGGGCTTGGCATCGATCCCGCAAAGCCGGGCAGGACCGGGAAGCTGCTCTCGGTCACAGCCCGTGGTCAGGCGTGATTTTTACATTTCACATGGCCTTTTCCAGCTATCAAGATTCTCCTTGACTTCATCCCCCAAAGCGGTGGTGGGGGCAGTCACACTGCGTGGTAAAAGCCCCTCCGTTACACAGACCCTGTCATTCTGTAGCTCATACCAACACTTTGCTATTTTAATATTGTATTAATTCACTAGGTAAGAATATCACTTGTATTTCACTAATAACACTTCACCTGTTGCTTTAGTTGTTCAAGCTTTTGCCAATTTACTCCTTCTAACCCTTCTGTGACATGGGATATCTCTAGTACAACAAATTTTGCTACCAAATAATTCATAGCCAAGATTAATTATCCAGAATTTCACTGTTATAAGGAATAGCAGAATTTGACCAAATATAAAGACTTCACGAACAATATAGAAGTTTCTGAAATCAGAAACTTTCTTCTAAAAAGTTATTTTAAAAGCTGACATTTAAATTTCAAACCAAAGCTGAGTGTTTTCTTACATTGATACCACTTCAAATCGACCTCAAGAAATTCACAGCTTTTGAATACCAGCTTTCCTACAAGAGAGGGTTCTTGATCCTCAACACGACAGTTCTCTGCAACTGATCAAGTACAATGTTTTGTCTCCATTCTAACTGAGCTATTGCCCTGTAATTCACGCTAATCCCACAGTGCACTGATGGATGAACTATTAGGTCAAATAGAACATGAATTTCATACACGCAGTTCTGCTGCAGTTGGTAAAACACAGTAGAGAAGCCAAGAAAACAATCCCATCATATTAAAGTTCTCATCTCTCTGAAATAAAAAATTATGCAAAAAGTGTTGGTGCCCTCAGGCATTGATTGCATTGGAGACTCTTTCCTTCTGAAACTGTCACGGTAGGTGTAAGTGGAGCAGGGTGAAAGTAGGGGGAACAAACATCATTCCACCCCATCCCATGAGATAGAAGAAAGCCATCATACATCCAAAGGTGTAAGGCTCACCAGTATAGAAGCAAAGAATAGTCTGGGTTAAAAGGCACCTTTAAAGGTCACCCAGTCCAACCCCCTGCAATGGGCACAAGCACCTTCAGCTACACCAGAGCCCTGTCCAACCTGGCCTTGAATGTTTCCACAGATGGAGCATCTACCACCTGTGTCAGTGTTTCATCACTCTCATCATAAAAACTTTCTTCCTTATATCTAGTCTAAATATACTTTAAGATATTCTAAAGAATAATAACGAAACCAAATATGTAAAATCTCCTGAAAAATCATTTGATGCCTTGGCAAACTACCCTGACGCTATCACAAAGTTCCATAGGCTATACATAAACAGACTTTCTGATGTCAGTGAAGGTTATAAGAGTAATTGTTTACTATGTATTGTGGTTTAACCACAGCAGGTAACTAAGTAACACACAGCTGCTCGGTCACTTCCCCCAATATCTACAATGAGCAGGATGTTCCATGGTATGGAAAGTCCCTCTGGCCAGTTCGGGTCAGCTGTCCTGGCTGTGCTCCCTCTCAGCTTCCTGTGCACCTGCTCACTGGCAGAGCATGAGAATCTGACAAGTCCTGAATTTCAGGTAAGCACTGCCCAGCACCAACCAAGATGTCTCTGTGTTATCAACATTATTCTTGTACTAAATCCAAAACACAGCACTGCACCAGCCACCAGGAATAAAATCAACTTTATCCCAGCCAAAACCAGGAGACTCTGCTGTTGATGTCCTAGCTTAACATAGAAGTGTACAATTAAGTTTTACTTATAATATTAATCTTGTGAAGGAAAAAGAAGAAAAAGAAATAAGACCTTGCAGAAGACAGTATATCTTAAGCAAGCTTAGTTTATAATTCAGAGATACAACAAAACTAGTAAGAATCTATCATACCAAGAAACTAAAACTTCCTTTACAATAACAAATAGAACTGCACTCTGGAGACCATACAGCATAACAAACAGTAATTCTTCATCTTTATTGTCCATTTCAGAGCATAGTGATTGAGTAAAATAGAGTATAATAATAATGAGCTACAATTTAGAGAATAACAAAAGCAACACAGTACTCTTGCTTCCACTTCTGTCTAATCTTGTGAGGTTTTCTCTGCATTGCAATCAAAAAGAAATTTACCATTTTTCATTAAAAAAAACCAGGCCATTGGATCATGAACATCCTATCCAAGGCTGTAGTAGGGAACCTGCTTAGATGGCGGAGTAGCAGGATTCTTTCCCAGGCTGTTAATTGCTCCAGAGCCACTCCCCATAGCACAGGTTAAATGGAGGTGTGTGCAGTGCTGTGCTTGGTTTGCAAGGATGCAGTTACACCTCTGGCAAGAAATTGCCCAATTCTTGAAATTCAGGCACCAGTTAACAGCAGGATTTTGTGGCAAAGGGATCCCAAGACTTCTTAGGAAGTTCTACTGCTGCTTCAGTGGCAGAAGCAGCTGTCCTACTGGACTGTGGACATGCCTGTCCCAGTTTTCTAGTGAGTGTTCCCCCATTCCATAGAAACAGCACTTCATTCAAATATCTCCAGGTCATCTCATCCTCTGCTACCACCCGAAAATCTTATGTCACCTTCTGGATCTCTTGTCCCCTGAAATTTTGGCTCATCCATATGACACTTGTCATCAGCTGCAAATCAGCTTCACGCTCAATGGCTCTGTCCCTTCTTCATAATGAAAATCAAAGGTCCCAGTGGTAGAGTGATGAGCAGCAAAGCAGAATTGAGGCTTGGGAATGTTGCTGATAAATCCTATTTCCTTACCAAAAGGACGTAAAAAGTATACTCAGTAGCAATTTAAACCTGTGTGAGAAAACTGTTATCCCCTATATCCATCAGTTTTCTTTGCAGGTAGGCACAATGCCAGCAAGTAGCACTTCAATTATTTCCTGGTACTTCCAGAATCTATATCTCTGAAGGATGCCCTAACACAAATGTGCCTCATAACTGACATGCAGTGAAGCAGAGCATAGAAAGATGATGTAAATCTGTCGAAGTAACATGGGAACTAGAAAGGAACTATCAATATTCAAACTGCAGATACAACATCATGTTTATGCTTTTCATAATTTCAGCTTTCTGTAGTTGAAATTAATTTTTAGGAAATACAACAGAACTTTACCACAAGAGGTATTTTAGTATCCAAATTGCTCACTATGTGTATAATAAAGAATATCGCTTGATTGTTCTGAAGCTGAGAATGTATTCAGATGGTGTCACACTTAACTAATGTTCCCACTGATGTTTTACTTTGTAGAAGTTGTTATTACTGAAATCTCATCTATTTTGGCAGCTGCCCCAGTGATAAAGCACACTGGAGATTGGCACCTTATTTTCACTTGGTAACTAATGCTGAACAATGGACTAAGTTGCTGAGGATGATGCTTTTATAAGACAGTTAACCAAACTGCCTCTGATCATGGCATGACAAGATTATACAGATTATAATCTTTATGAATGCTGTTAGAAAGAAGGTAATTTCTTTTCCTGAACTAGTTGAAGTGGAAACAAGGTCTTTTAAAGCTTTCACAACCTCCCATGGTAGCTGACAGATTTTATCTAATACCCCTTCTTCTCAGAAAATATAATAAAGGTTTAATACCTTCATTTTACAATTGCAAACCTACTCTACTCTCCAAACCTACAAAGTAGAAGGGGAAGATCATTCTTTACACTGTCAAACTGATGAACACTTAATGTTTCTCAGTAAATTTCTTGTGCTTTCCTTTGCAATAGCTGATACTGGTAACTGCTGCAAGCTTTTGTTCAGGGTGAATGTACTAAGGAAGGCAAGTCACAGTAAGAGCTGCAAATACCCTTTCTCCTCATCCGTGTTATCACTGCTCAAACCATGTGATGCACCAGCATCTGAGCAGCTGCAGAGTTGCTCCATCCAAATCACAGTTGCAATTCAGTACTGGCACTGAAATCAACTTTGTTTCTGCAGCAAAGACTTTGCTTTAAAGCGTTAAGAGGCTCCTGACCACATGCGGAAAAGAGAGGCTTGATTTTGAAATTCATATTAGGTCACAGTATATTCATGTTTGGGAAAAAATGGAACACGTAGGTTTGAAATGCCTTTGCAGCAGCTACAGGTCAGACAGAAGAGCAGACTTGGTGATTCAGAGCACACTAAGCTGTGTGATCAACATCACCCCACAGAATTACTGCAGGCTGGTGGCAGTGACACACACCAGAATGCAACCCACGCCATATATGCACGTACATTCCACACGGATTATGGCATATTGGATACAGGCTTGCTTTTCAAGGGAAAAATAACTATTCATAATAACTAGAAGAAAATAAAAATATACAGAAAATAGTATAACTCATAATTTTGTATCAGAGGAGGTGTGTTTTTTTCATGGAAGAAGCCTTGGATACTCCTATGGAATACTGCAGAAAGGTTAAGAAAATTAGTTTTGTATGTCGACATGGGGTGAAAGGTATTAATAAGAAGAAAGGTGTATGTGGAATTATTTTTTTTATTACTATACTTTGGCAGGAAAGCTTAAACATTAATTTAATTCCAGCAAATGGATAGGTCCTAAACAATTGTATATTATCACCAAAACAGCAGGAAATTAAACAGTTGCAAATTTAACAATAAGTGAAATTAATGACTGGAATATTTAATTAGATAGGGCAACAGCCTTTCAAGCAGCACTTCACAGACAAATAAAAA